GGAGCGAAAAGGAATTGCGGGGGGAAGGGTACGGGAAAGGATGGAGGCTGCTCGGCCTCGGGTGGTGGGTTTTCGCAAGCGAGGCGCTTCAGCTCTCCCTGGAGATGGCGGTGATTGAGGCAGGTGTGTTTAAAACGTGTCTCCGTCTGGTAAAGGGACGACGACGACACACGACCCCGGCTAGGAACCTTTTTTTTTTAAAAAAGCCAGCCCGAACGGCTCAGCGCACCAAGGCATTTTTATAGCCTTGCTTTAAATGGATAGCTAATCTCATTTCAGATATATGGGCTGGCAGAAACAGGCTTATTTAAAGGATTAAATGCAGGAAAGCTTCCTTTGATGTGAATGCACTTGTACCAGAGAAGCCAGGTTTTTTTTTTTAATGCAGACAAATATATAGACATATGCACACACAAATCTTGCAAATTCTGTAACACAGATAAAAACGAAGCAAGACACTAGCTCTGAACACTTTTAAAATCTTTCTGGTGAGCATGCAGGGTGTTTCTAAAAAGTCAAGTGGATTGTGACATCTGCCCCAGCTTTCTAATTGCCCTAAACAAAAGACCTGTATTTAAATATTGCTGAAGCTCTAGATAAATGATACTATGTAAATTGATACCATGTATCTGTAATGTGCCATATTACACAATTACATGAGCTTTGTAATCATTGGCCTCAAGAAATTTTACAATATCTCTCTGAAAAAGAAAAGGCAAAAATGCTCCTTTTAAACATGGGAAATGGAGTTATTGCATCTTACGAATGCAATAGCAAAATAAAGGAAAGAGCAATGTATCTCCAAGGTGATCTGGGAGAAGAACCTACAGCAGTCAAGGTCCTGCCTTGCTCCCTACATGCACACATTTCACTTCCCCCGGTCTAAGAAGGTCTCACTACTAAAGACCCAGTCCTTCAGCAAACATAAGATGTCCCAGGTGCCAATGCAAAACTCATTCAAGGCGAATGCTATTCACTAAATGCAAAGCCTGAGCAAATCATGCACACAGCTAAACGTTCATCACCTATGAACCTGAAGACTATTGCCCTGTGCGATATTCCACAGTGCACGCACACCTCTCAGTCTATGCAGGTTGACTCTCCCTTCTGTCACGCTCCTGTAAACGATCAGGAACTCCACTGAGAACAACAGTGTTAGTAAGGGTGTCTAAAACCCCAGGCAGAAAAACCAGTATTTCCTTGTCCAGCGTTTTACATTAGGCAAGTCTTGGCACTTGGTATCTTTTTATTTATTCTATCAAGTTTTGCCAATAATACAAGCCAGGAACCTGTCTTTGTTAGTTTACTGGCTAATGGCCATTACATCTCCATGGTGGTGGAACTCGTCGTAACCCAAGACGACAGCGTGGGTTGTGCTGGACTTGGCACTGCTGTTACTGCAGAAGTACAGTACGTGGCCTCACGTTACATTGCTCTCCAAGCTCCTCTCCCCGTGTGTGCATAGCACTTTAGCTGTGCATCCCTCTGCCAAATTTGTTCAGGGTGTTATTTTTATGCACTAAATTCCTTGCAATCAGAGGTAGGTCAAATAAGCACAGCAATCTGAACGTCATGTGCCCAGCAGCCGACTAATCCTCACATCAGCAAGCTTCACAGCTGTCACAACATCCAGAGAAAGAGCTGGTCGGAGGCTGTGATGCACAAGGAATGAGCCAAGGAGGAAGCCTACACCACCAGCTGCCAAGGCCGGGAGAAGGTAAAGCACCTCACTGCTCAGCATCAGGAGCCAGATGCCTTTGTTGCCAGTCTCTGCATCATTTAAACACTCTGCACTCACAACAGCGGCCAAATTTTCACAACAGTGAAGTGGCTGGACTGTTTAATGTGCTTAGCTTTGTTCTCAATGGGGGCTGATGATTGCCAAGTGTTTTGGAAAGAACTTAGCCCCTCTATTTAAGTTGCTGAAACGCGAGCTCTTGAACATTAAGCTCTTTTGGAAATCCAGCTGCAGAACTCCACGGTGGTGGTGGATGCAAGCTGGGAACAATGGTTAATGGAAACTTCCCCTCATACCACCCTAGTGATGTGTCTCAACCATGGCCTGGAGAGACCACAACTATCTCAATACTGGACTTTTGTCTGGAGACTTTCCCACTTGTAGAGCTCCACTCAAGCAACACTGAGTATGCCAGGACAGACACAGCTCCAGGTGTCTCCTGGCAAAGGGATCAGCAGGTTTTGATGGCCCCAGCAGCAGTTACGGCTGCCCCAACTTCTTGCCTTTGCGAATGCTCTTGGTGTTGCTCTGGCAAATATTAGCAATAGCGAAAATTTTCCAGAAAGAAGGACTTGAAAGTTGGCTGTTCTAACCCTTTCAGTCCTCCTCCTCCTCCCAGCAGAGACTGCCAGTGAGGAAGTCCAATGTAATGGCAATATTTTCAGTGTGGTTCCTTGTTCAAAGAGAAATGGACTGAGGTCATTCACTTGTGTCATCTAGGTCACCAAACGGCTGGTAAAAAGAAAAAAGCAGCTTTAAATTGCTTGCAATAATTAAAATTCACAATTCAAAAGTACAGTAGCATTTTTATATACCTACAGAACCAAAATGCTGATCTGGTATCGTGGGGAGCTCAATCACTGTATCCTGACTCTTAATTTCCCCCTTTTGAAACACCCCACCTACCAGCTGTGCTCAGGAGAGCTAAGACAGAAATAACCTCTTCAACAGCACCACTGCTTGACAGACTTGTTATTTGTATTGCAAGAGATCCCCGGTGAATTATGTGGAACTCAAGTTTGAATCATTCCACTCCAATAGAAATGTGCCTGATTTTCAGAAAATCTCCCTTCTTGCAGCCCTTCCACACTTTTCATCAGCTCAACAGCTGGCTGGAGAACAGCAACAGGAAAAAGAAAAGGGAGTAGAAATGTTCTAATCAAAGTATTTTCCCCTATTTTTTACACATATGTTGGAGGGACAGAGGATTTTCTCATTCAATTTATTAGCAGCCCAGAGATAAAAATATGTGTTTGCTAATAATTTTTCCTGATATAAACTAAAGGCACTTTGGGTATGTCAGTCAGACTATATAGTACCACAGTTAAATTGACAGATAATCCTCACCCAGAGCTGCTCCAGAGAACCCCACTGCTCTGCCGACTATCCACTTGGCAGCTGGCCAGCTATTTGGGATAGTTGTCTTACTCCAAATCACAGCCTGTCCCGGACTAATCTGTCATCTATTTCTGCATTAACCCTTCCAGCCTCTAGGAAAAGTTATCTCAATGCAGAACACAAGGCAGCGTGCAGGAATGGAGACAGGCAAAAATCCCCACAGGCAGTAAAGTAAAAGGAGTATTCTGGAGGCCAAGATTTATCTAAGGACAGTATCTTGTCACATTATAATTCCCCTGTTACAGTATTATAAGCATCATCTAATTTCCCTACTATTACTATTTTAGTGTCTTCCAGAAACCAAAACAATTACCTGGACAGTAAGACCATAATCTATACTAGCACTA